TTAGAGAAAATCTCACATCAAGTGTTATTGAAGTGTTGTGGTTGCAGGTTCACCTGCCTCATCTAAAGCCTATTATTTTAGGGTGTTACTATAGGTCACCAAGTGCCAGAGGAGATAGCTGCCGTTTTACGGCCCTCTAACCAATTGTGCTACTATGTGTGTTTTTTCAAGTTTTTTGTAATTTATTCTGTACATAATGTTTCAGGACAGCGATTACTCACCTCGTATTGATTTTTCATCAACGAGTCGGACGCGAAGGATATTCTACAGACACCCGACAAGGACCAAATCCCCGTCATTCACATGAGAAAGAGACAGAGATATCATGGACGTAAGTCGGGATGCCTTGTAAGGATCTGACGACGAGCGAGTAATCTACTTCTTCCATCAATCCTATTAGCCAACGTACAATCACTTGAAAACAAAATGGACGACCTAAGATCAAATATATCCTACCAACGGGACATTAAAAACTGTAATATCTTATGTTTCACCGAGACGTGGCTGAACGACGACATGGATAACATACAGCTGGTGGGATATACGCTACATCGGCAGGATAGAACGGCTGACTCCGGTAAGACAAGGGGTGGCGGTCTGTATATATTTGTAAACAACAGCTGGTGCATAAAATCTAATACTAAGGAAGTCTCAAGGTTTTGCTCGCCTGAGGTAGAGTATCTCAAGATAAGCTGTAGACCACACTATTTACCGAGAGAGTTTTCTTCTATATTTTTCGTAGCTGTCTATTTACCACCACAAACCGATGCTGGAACTAAGATTGCACTCAATGAGCTATATAAGGCCATAAGCAAACAGGAAAACGCTCATCCAGAGGCAGCGCTCCTAGTGGCCGGGGACTTTAATTCAGGGAAACTTAAATCCGTTCTACCTAATTTCTACTAGCATGTTAAATGTGCAAAAAGAGGAAAAAAAACTTTAGACCACCTTTACTCCACACACAGAGACGCGTACAAAGCTCTCCCTTGCCCTCCATTTGGCAAAATCTGACCATAATTATATCCTTCTGATTCCTGCTTATAAGCAAAAACTGAAGCAGAAAGCACCAGTGACTCGGTTAATAAGGAAGTGGTCAGATGACACAGATGCTAAGCTACAGGACTGTTTTGCTAGCACAGAATGGAATATGTTCCGGGATTCTTCCGATGGCATTGAGGAGTACACCACATCAGTTATTGGCTTCATCAATAAGTGCATCGATGACGTCATCCCCACAGTGACCATACATACATACCCCAACCAGAAGCCATGGATTACAGGCAACATCCTCACTGAGCTAAAGGGTAGAGCTGCCGCTTTCAAGGAGTGGGACTCTAACCCGGACGCTTATAAGAAATCCCGCTATGCCCTCTGACGAACCATGAAACAGACAAAGAGTCAATACAGGACTAAGATTGAATCGTACTACACCGGCTCCGATGCTCGTCGGATGTGGCAGGGCTTGAAAACTATTACAGACTACAAAGGGAAGCACAGCTGCGAGCTGCCCAGTGACACAAGCCTACCAGACGAGCTAAATCACTTCTATGCTCACCTCGAGGCAAGCATGCATGAGCGCATCAGCTGTTCCGGTTGACTATGTGATCACGCTCTCCGTAGCCGATGTGAGTAAGACTTTTAAGCAGGTCAACATTCACAAGGCCGTAGGGCCAGGCGGATTACCAGGACGTGTACTCCAAGCATGCGCTGACCAACTGGCAAGTGTCTTCACTGACATTTTTAACATGTCCCTGACTGTTTCTGTAATACCAACATGTTTCAAGCAGACCACCATAGTCTCTGTGCCCAAGAACACTAAGATAACCTGCCTAAATGACTACCAACCCGTAGCACTCACGTCTGTAGCCATGAAGTGCTTTTAAAAGCTGGTCATGGCTCACATTAACACCATTATCCCAGAAACCCTAGACCCACTCCAATTTGCACACCGCCCCAACAGATCCACAGATGATGCAATCTCTATTGCACTCCACACTGCCCTTTCACACCTGGACAAGAGGAACACCTATGTGAGAATGCTCTTAATTGACTACAGCTCAGCGTTCAACACCATAGTGCCCTCAAAGCTCATCACTAAGCTAAGGACCCTGGGACTAAACACCTCCCTCTGCAACTGGATCCTGGACTTCCTGACAGGCCGCCCCTAGGTGGTAAGGGTAGGCAACAACACATCTGCCACGCTGATCCTCAACACTGGGGCCCCTCAGGGGTGCGTTCTCAGTCCCCTCCTGTACTCCCTGTTCACCGATGACTGCATGGCCAAGCACGACTCCAACATCATCATTAAGTTTGCCGATGACACAACAGTGGTATGCCTGATCTCCGACAACGATGAGACAGCCTATAGGTAGGAGGTCAGAGACCTGGCTGTGTGGTGCCAGGATAACAACCTCTCCCTCAACGTGATCAAGACAAAGGAGATGATTGTGGACTACAGGGAAAAAAAGAGGGCTGAGCACACCCCCATTCTCATCGATGGGGCTGTAGTGGAACAGGTTGAGAGTTTCAAGTTTCTTGGTGTCCACATCACCAATTTTACATTTTAGTCATTTAGCAGACGCTCTTATCCAGAGCGACTTACAGTGCATACATTAATATATATATATGTTTTCATACCCCCTGTGGGAATCGAACCCACAACCCTGGCATTGCAAACACCATGCTCTATCAACTGAGCTACATCCCTGCCAGCCATTCCCTCCCTACCCTGGACGAATTGCGCGCCGCCCCACGGGTCTCCCGGTCGCAGCCGGCAATGACAGAGCCTGGATTCGAACCAGGATCTCTAGTGGCACAGCTAGCACTGTGTTGCAGTGCCTTAGACCACTGCGCCACTCGGGAGACTAAACTATCATGGTCCAAACACACCAAGACAGTCGTGAAGAGGGCACGACAAAGCCTATTCCCCCTCAGGAGAATGAAAAGATTTGGCATGGGTCCTCAGATCCTCAAAAAGTTCTACATTTGCACCATCGAAGCATCCTGACTGGTTGCATTACCGCCTTGTATGGCAACTGCTCGGCTTCCGACCACAAGGCACTGCAGAGGGTAGTGCGTACGGCCCAGTACATCACTGGGGCCAAGCTTCCTGCCATCCAGGACCTCTATACCAGGCAGTGTCAGAGGAAGGCGCTAAAAATTGTCAAAGACTCCAGCCACCATAGTCATAGACTGTTCTCTCTGCTACCGCACGGCAAGCGGTACCGGAGTGCCATGTCTAGGTCCAAAAGGCTTCTTAGCAGCTTCTACCCCCAAGCCATAAGACTCCTGAACAGCTAATCATGGCTACCCGGACTATTTGCATTGTCCCCCCCATCCCACCCCACCCCACCCCCTCTTTAACGCTGCTGCTACTCTGTTTATTATCTATGCATAGTCACTTTAACTCTACCCACATGTACATATTACCTCAATTACCTCGACTAACCGGTGCCCCTGCACATTGACTCTGTACCGGTACCCCCTGTATATAGCCTCCCTACTATTATTTTATTTTACTGCCGCTCTTTAATTATTTAAATATTTTATTTTTTACTTATATATTTTTTACTTAACACTTTATTTCTTAAAACTGCATTGTTGGTTAAGGGCTTGTAAGTAAGCATTTCACTGTAAGGTCTACACCTGTTGTATTCGGCTCATGTGGCAAATACAATTTGATTTGATTTATTCTATTCTAATATGTGTGAAATGCTTGATAGTGTATGTGATGTACACAGAGAGGTGTACTTTCTTGGGGACCTGAATATTGACTGGTTGTCATCTAGCTGTCTACTCAAGAGGAAGCTTCTCACTGTAACCGGTGCCTGTAATCTGGTTCAGGTTATTAATCAGCTTTGCACACTCTCGCAAAGCTGTCATCAAGGCAAAGGGTGGCTATTTGAAGAATCTCAAATATAAAATATATTTTTGGTTACTACATTGTCCATTTGTGTTATTTCATAGTTTTGATGTCTTCACTATTATTCTACAATGTAGAAAATAGTAAAAATTAAGAAAAACCCTTGAATGAGTAGGTGTTCTAAAACTTTTGACTGGTAGTGTATGTGTTATGGCTTTTAAACCTCTGCCATATCGTGGATTCAGAGCTATCTATCTAATAGAACAGAGAGGGTTTTATTTAATGGAGGCTTCTCTAATGTTAAACATGCAAAGTGTAGTGTATCGCAGGGCTGCTCTCTTAGCCCGCTACTCTTTTCTATTTTTACCATTGACCTGCCACTGGCATTAAACAAAGCCTGTGTGTCGATGTATTCTGATGATTCAACGCTATAATCGTCAGCAACAACAGATAGTGAAATCAATGCAACCCTAAACAAAGAGTTGCAGACAGTTTTAGAATGGGTGGCCAGTAATAGTACTAAACTGGTCCTGAATATCTCTTAAACTAAGAGCATTATATTCGGTACAAATCATTCCCTAAGTTCTAGAGCTCAGCTGAATCTGGTAATGAATGGTGTGGCTGTTGAGCAAGTTGAGGAGACTAAATGAATTAGTGTTACCATAGATTGTAAACTGTCATGGTCAAAACATATTGATTCAATGGTTGTAAAGATGGAGAGAGGTCTGTCCGTGATAAAGACATGCTATGCTTTTTTGACACCAGACTCCACAAAGCAAGTCCTGCAGGCTTTAGTTTTATCTTATCTTGATTATTGTCCAGTCATATGGTCAAGTGCTACAAAGTAGGACCTAGTTAAGTTGCAGCTGGCACAGAACAGAGTGGCACGTTTTGCTCTTCATTATAATCAGAGGGCTAATATCAATAATATGCATGCCAGTCTCTCTTGGCTAAGAGTTGACCAAACACACACGCACACTACATGTTAATATTTTTAAATGTATGTAAATTGTAAAGTCTTTTTTCTGTAATGTATTCTTCGTTATTTGTCGGACCCCAGTAAGACTAGCTGTCGCCATTGGGGATCCTAATAAATTACACATTTAAAAAAGTCTGGAAGAAAATATTAATGTATAAACAGGGCATAATAGTACTGTGTAGCATACCTTGCAGCAATTGATTTTTTGTGTAAAATAGGTTACTTTTAATCATGTTGGTTCCACATTTCCACATTTCAAACCACAGTGGTGAGACAGGTTATAATACAGATATTACAGAGATTATTGTGCATGCATTATATTTCCATATAATGTAGATGTTGAGACTGATACAGCAGAATAAAAGTGGTTGGCTCTCAGACGATGTTGAACTCGCAGACAGACGCCTTCTCAGCACGACAGCTCTCATCGAACCACTTTCCATTGGCAGTGGTAGAAAGAATGGCACAGTTGTGGGTACGGCCACCGTCTGGTTGGTTGGTAATGTCAGTCTCCCAGTTCTTAAAGCGCAGGTTGGTGCCCGCCTGGTCGAGCCATTCTCCCTCAGTCACCATGTCATTGATGCCCAGCCAAATGTGTTCCTCTGGGCCGATGCTCCGGCGGACGTAGTTGACGAGTTGATCGTTGTCATCCCCTGTCAGAGGGGTGCTGATTGTGCCCCCTTTAGCAATGCAGTCATCGTAGGCTGTGTGGTAGTTCTTCTTAGCAGCATCGGCCAGGAAACACTTGCCAATAATCTTGATGCCTTTCAGGCAAACTGGAAGAAAATGTATATCAAAGTTGGATTATTTGTACAGCTCAATATCCACAACATCATCACAGAAAACTTTGGGTTAAAATACAAGATAATGGCAGAGACTGTAGCTCTCAGATCCGTTCATATGTATTGTACTGCCATACAGTGCCTTCAGAAAGCATTCACACCCCTTGACTTTTTTACAGCCTGAATTTAAAATTGATTAAATTTAGATTTTGTAGTCACTGGCTTACACGCACGCAATACCCCATAATGTCAAAGTGGAATTATGTTTTTATTTTATTTTTACAGATTAATTAAAAATGAAAAGCTGAAATGTCTTGAGTCAATAAGTATTCAACCCCTTTGTTATGGTAAGCCTAAATAAGTTCAGGAGTAAAAATATGCTTAACAAGTTACAATAAGTTGCATGGGTTCACTCTGTGTGCAATAATAGTGTTTAAAATGATTTTTGAAAAACTACCTAATCTCTGTACCCCACACATTCAATTATCTGTAAGGTCCCTCAGTCGAGCAGAAACGGAATGGAGCTAAGCACAGGCAAAATCCTAGAGGAAAACCTGGTTCAGTCTGCTTTCTACCAGACACTGGGAGATGAATTCACCTTTCAGCAGGACAATAACCTAAAACACAAGGCCAAATCTACACTGGAGTTGTTTACCAAGAAGACAGTGAATGTTCCTGAGTGGGCGAGTTACAGGTTTGGCTTAAATCTGCTTGAAAATCTATGCCAAGAAAATGATTGTCTAGCAATGATCAACAACCAATTTGACAGAGCTTGAAGAATTTTTAAAAGAATAATCTGCAAATGTTGCACAATCCAGGTGTGGAAATCTCTTAGTGATTTACCCAGAAAGACTCACAGCTGTAATTGCTGCCAAATTGCTGTCACAGCCCCAAAGTATTGACTCAGGGGTGTGAATACTTATGTAAATGAGATATTGCTGTATTTAATTTTCAATATATTTGCAAAAATTTCTAAAAACATGTTGTCACTTTGTCATTTTGAGGTATTGTGTGTAGATAGGTGAGAGAAAAACATATATTTCATCCATCTTGAATTCACGCTGTAACACAACAAAATGTGGAATAAGTCAAGGGGTATGAATACTTTCTGAAGGCACTGTATCTGTAAGGTACTTCGGTCAAACAGCGAAGTTCAAACAGATTCAACCACAAGACCAGGGAGGTTTTCCAATGCTTTGCAAAGAAGGGCACCTATTGGTAAATGGGTAAACATTTTAAAAGCATACAGTGAATATCCCTTTGAGCATGGTGAAGTTATTAATTACACTTTGGATGGTGTGTCAATACAACAGTCACTACAAAGATACAGGCGTCCTTCCTAACTCAGTTGCAGGAGAGGAGGAAACCACTCAGGGATGCCAATAGTGACTTTAAAACAGTTACAGAGTGTAATGGCTGCGATAGGAGAAAACTGAGGATGGATCAACAACATGGTAGCTACTCCACAATACTAACTTTAATGACAGAGCGAAAAGAAGGAAGCTTGTACAGAATAAAAATATTCCAAAACATGCATCATGTTTGCAACAAGACACTAAAGTATTACTGCAAAAAATGTGGCAAAGCAATTAACTTTTTGTCCTGAATACAAAGTGTTATGTTTGGGGCAAATCCAATACAACACATTACTGAGTACCACCCTCCATATTTTCAAGCATAGTGGTGGCTGCATCATTTTATGGGTATGCTTGTAATCGTTAAGGTCTGGGGAGTTTTTCAGGACATAAAAAAACAGAATGGAGCTAAGGACAGGCAGAATCCTAGAGGAAAGCCTGGTTCACTCTGCTTTCCATCAGACACTGGGAGATTAATTCAACTTTCAGCAGGACAATAACCTTAAACACAAGGCCAAATCTACACTGGAGTTGTTTACCAAGAAGACAGTGAATGTTCGTGAGTGGGTGAATTACAGTTTTGACTTACAGTAAATCTGTTTGAAAATCTATGGCAAGACTTGAAAATGGTTGTCTAGCAATGATCAACTACCAATTTCACAGAGCTTGAAGAATTTAGAAAAGAATAATGGGCAAATATTGTACAGTCCAGGTGTGGAAAGCTTTTAGAGACTTACCCAGAAAGACTCACAGCTGTAATCACTGCCAAATGTGATTCTAACATGTATTTACTCAGGGGTATGAATACTGATGTAAATTAGATATGTCTGTATTTCATTTTCAATAAATGTGAAAAAATCTCTAAAAACATGTTTTCACATTGTCATTATGGGGTATTGTGTGTAGATGGGTGAGAAAAAAACATATATTTAATAAATTTTGAATTCAGGCTGTAACACAACAAAATGTGGAACAAGTCAAGGGGTATGAATACTTTCTGAAGGCACTGTACATATCAATACATACATACATGCTTTATGGGCATACTTTATAATCTAGGACTACTGTTTGAACATAACATATATTTCTGTTAGTACTTTAAATATTAATGTTAAGGCAACACCCCAAATTGAATCCAGACTAAACAACTTAAATTGACCAATGCAATACATTCCCTGTTGCTTCACTGAGATTAGAGTACTCCATTTTCGATATCAACAGTAACATATCCCTTACCTGATTGCAAGGCTTGCTGCTCTTTCAATAGATTCAACTCCAGCACTATGTTATCAATCTGTTTCTTCAGCTCCTCAATGGCAGCATTATTTTCAGCATCTATGTTGAAGAAATTGGAGTAGAATCAACAAAGTTTTACAACTAATACTGTACCAAGGACGATGGTTCATGGTTGAGCAGTATTGTGCTCAACCTCTTATCTACCCAAAGTAAATGATGAACTAACATTGACTCAGATATTATTCTCTCCACATAGAGATAAAATGTGTCGTACCTTTCTTTGCGCCCTTTTTCTTAGATGAGGTCTGTTGGAATGTGGATTGCCAGAGGAGGAGAAGGCAAAACAACAAACGCACACCACTGACATTCATGGTGTATATCTTAGTAGCCTATATTTCCACTAATATGATTTGTAAATGACAGTTTATATTTCCACTACTAGCCAGGAAAAATCTGTTTCGGGAATTGGCACTGTGGAGTTGACAGAGGAAATCTCAACTTTGAGAGAACAAATGTTTTACAGATGTCAAACTGGCGTTTGTTCTTTTATTCCCTTTTATTTTTATGAGGGGTGGCGCAGGATGTTCATTGATGACTTTTTAACCCTGTTGAGGCGGGAGTGGAATTAGCTCTAGGTTACCCATATGCTTCCTTTTTGGTTCCCATAATAAAACATTTAAGGGCCATTTTCTATTTGGCCTACTGTATGTATTTTCCCCTGTATTCTAAATTGAACAAGAAGTTGTCGGGCTATTAGAATTAAATGATCAAAGCAGCTTTAGTATAACCTTGTATAAACATTAGGCCTACAACTGTTAGCCGATGCATTTATTACCATAACAAAATGTGACAAAGTCGTACTAGTAACCTCAGGCACTCTTTACAGACATCTGTTCTAATTGTAGTAGAATACTGGCTGAGGTCCAGGGAGCATGTTTCCTTTGTTCCAGGGGCTCCAATGGTCTTGGGGTTGGGTGGATTGGGGCTCCATAGACCCTGCATCTGGTTCCTCTCAGCTAGCTGGACAAGGTTTTGCTGACACGTAGCAGCCTTACACCATGCTTTGGAGTGTGTGTTTGTTTTTGTATTTCACATGCACAGACCACAGATTCCCATTGCTAACTGAATCTATGAGAGCTGTCTCAAACTTGTGGCCACGACAAAATGCAAATATATCTCACACACTTAATTGCTGTGGGGAGTATAAGAAGAGTTTATTTGCAAAACGCTATATCAACAAATTTTTCACATTTGTGTTTTGTCATCAGAAATTATTACTTATGGTACCTTCATGTGTGTGTAAAATCTTACTGATCTCAGATTTGTTATTCATAGATTTTAGATTTTTTTTGCCAAACGCTATACAGTGCCTGCAGAAAGTATTCACACCCCTTTACTTTTTCCAAATGTTGTTGTGTTACAGCCTAAATTTAAAATGTATTAAATTGAGATTTTTTTCGCTGGCCTACACACAATAACCCATAATGCCAAAGTAGAAATATGTTTTTCGAAATGTTTACTAATTAATAAAAAATGAAAAGCTGAAATGTCTTGAGTCAATAAGTATTCAACCCCTTTGTTATGGCAAGCCTAAATAAGTTCAGGAGTATAGAATGGCTTAACAAGTCACATAATAAGTTACATGGACTCACTATGTGTGCAATAATAGTGTTTAACATTATTTTTGAATGACTACCTCATCTCTGTACCCCACACATACAATTATCTGTAAGGTCCCTCAGTTGAGCAGTGAATTTCAAACACAGATTCAACCACAAAGACCAAGGAGGTTTTCCAATGCCTCACAAAGAAGGGCACCTATTGGTAGATGGGTAAAAAAAAATACAGACAATTAATATCCCTTTGAGCATGGTGAATTTATTAATTACACTTTGGATGGTGTATCAATATACAGTCACTACAAAGATACAGGCGTCCTTCCTAACTCAGTTGCCAGAGAGGAAGGAAATTGCTCAGGGATTTCACCATGAGGCCAATGGTGACTTTAAAACAGTTACAGAGTTGAATGGCTGTGACAGGAGAAAACTGAGGATGAATCTACAACATTGTAGTTACTCCACAATACTAAGCTAAATGACAGAGTGAAAAGAATGAAGCCTGTATAGATTAAAAAATATTCCAAAACATGCATCCTGTTTGCAACAAGGCACCAAAGTAATACTGCAAAACATTTGGCAAAGCAATTAACTTTTTGTCAAGAATACAAAGTGTTATGCTTGGGGCAAATCCAATACAACACAAACTGAGTACAACTCTCCATATTTTCAAGCATAGTGGTGGCTGCATCATGTTATGGGTATGCTTGTCATCGTTAAGGACTGGGAAGTTTTCCAGGATAAAAAATAAATGGAATGGAGCTAAGCACAGGCAAATTCCTAGAGGAAAACCTGGTTCAGTCTGCTTTCCACCAGACACTGGGAGATGGATTCAAATCTACACTGGAGTTGCTTACCAAGAAGACAGTGAATATTCCTGAGTGGCCGAGTTACAGTTTTGACTTAAATCTACTTGAAAATCTATGGAAAGACTTGAAAATGGTTGTCTAGCAATGACCAACAACCAATTTGACAGAGCTTGAAGAATTTTGAAAATAATAATGGGCAAAACTTACCCAGAAAGACTCCGCTGTAATCACTACCAAAGGTGCTTCTACAAAGTATTGACACATGGGTGTGAATACTTATGTAAATGAGATATTTCTGTAATTCATTTTCAATACATTTGCAAACATTTCTAAAAACATATTTTTATTTTGTCATTATGGGGTACTGTGTGTAGATTGGTGAGATTTTGAATTTGAATTCAGGCTGTAACACAACAAAATGTGGAATAAGTCAAGGAGTATGAATCATTTCTGAAGGCGCTGTATATCCATTGTTTAGGTGGAATGGAATGTTTGTATACTGTATATTTGACTGTGATATGTGGTTGTCTCACCAAGCTGTCTTAATGTGAATGCACTTACTTTAAGTCGCTCAGGATAAGCGCATCTGCTAAATGTTTTACATACAGATCTCATATTACTGTATTTATTTATTTATTTAATATATAAAGTAACAGTGAAAAGTTTGGACACAACTACTCATTCAAGGGTTTTTCTTTATTTTTACTATTTTCTACATTGTAGAATAATACGGAAGACATCAAAACTATGAAATAACATATGGAATCATGTAGTAACCAAAAAAGTGTTAAACAAATCAAAATATATTTGAGATTCTTCAAAGTAGCCACCCTTTGCCTTGATGACAGCTTTGCACACTCTTGGCATTCTCTCAACCAGCTTCACCTGGAATGCTTTTCCAACAGCCTTGACGGAGTTCCCACATATGCTGAGCACTTGTTTGCTGCTTTTCCTTCACTCTGCGGTCCAACTCATCCCAAATCATCTCAATTCGGTTGAGGTCGGGTGATTGTGGAGGCCAGGTCATCTGATGCAGCACTCCATCACTCTCCTTCTTGGTCAAATAGCCTTTACACAGCATGGAGGTGTGTTGGGTCATTGTCCTGTTGAAAAACAAATGATAGTCCCACAAAGCACAAACCAGATGGGATAGCGTATCGCTACAGAATTCTGTGGTAGCCATGCTGGTTAAGTGTGCCTTGAATTCTAAATAAATCACAGACAGTGTCACCAGCAAAGCACCACCACACCATCACATCTCCTCCTCCATGCTTCACGGTGGGAACCACACATGCAGAGGTAATCCGTTCACCTACTCTGCATCTCACAAAGACACGGCGGTTGGAACCAAAAATCTCAAATTTGGACTCATCAGACCAAAGGACAGATTTCCACCGGTCTAATGTCCATTGCTTGTGTTTCTTGGCCCAAGCAAGTCTCTTCTTCATATTGGTGTCCTTTAGTAGTGGTTTCTTTGTAGCAAATCGACCATGAAGACCTGATTCACGCAGTCTTCTCTGAACAGTTGATGTTGAGATGTGTCTGTTACTTGAACTCCGTGAAGCAATTATTTGGGCTGCAATTTCTGAGGCTGGTAACTCTAATGAACTTATCCTCTGCAGCAGAGGTAACTCTGGGTCTTCCTTTCCTTCATGTCTTAAAGTAATGATGGACTGTCGTTTCTCTTTGCTTATTTGAGCAGTTTTTGCCATAATTTGGACTTCGTCTTTTACCAAATAGGGCTATCTTCTGTATACCAACCCTACCTTGTCACAACACAACTGATTGGCTCAAGAAATAAATAAATTCCACAAATTAACTTTTAACAAGGCACGCCTGTTAATTGTAATATCTTCCAGGTGACTACCTCATGAAGCTGGTTGAGAGAATGCCAAGAGTGTGCAAAGCTGTCATCAAGGCAAAGGGTGGCTATTTGAAGAATCTCAAATATATAATATATTTTCATTTGTTTATTACTTCTTTGGTTACTAAATGATTCCATTGTGTTATTTCATAGTTTTGATGTCTTCACTATTATTCTACAATGTAGAAAATAGTTTAAATAAAGAAAAAACCCTTGAATGAGTAGGAGTGTCCAAACTTTTGACTGGTACTGTATATACATATATATATATATATATATATATATATATATATATATATATATACAGTGTCACGTTCGTTTACAGACGGGACGGACCAAGGCGCAGCGTGATATGCGTACATATCAAACACAACGACAAAGTAACAAACAAAACAAAAAGTCCAAGGCAGCACAACACAACATACCTTAACACAGAACAAGATCACACAACCCACTAGTGCCAATAGGCTGCCTAAGTATGGTCCCCAATCAGAGACAACGAGCGACAGCTGCCTCTGATTGGGAACCACACCGGCCAACATAGATCTAGAAATACTAGATTCACAACATAGAACAAAACACAGCAAGGAAAATACACACCCTGACTCAACATACAAGCATCATCTGAGTCAGGGCGTGACATACAGTGGGGAGAACAAGTATTTGATACACTGCCGCACAACATAAACATAGCAGGGTAGGGGCCGGGTGGGCATTCCGCCTCGGAGGCGGATCCGGCTCCGGGCGTGACGACCTCTTACTCTCCGCCTCCCTGTTACGCCCCTGGTCTGGTCTGGACCTCGGCGCGCTGCTTCCCCTCTCCTTCCTCCCACGATGTACCAAGCCCTGTCTGGACCCTGGTGTGGGAGACCCCGAACCTGGAGAGGGGCTGACGTCTGGGTCTGGACTGGAACCGCTGACTGGAGCTGGACCCGACGACGGTGGAGTGAACTGCTCTGGCTCCGGAGTGGAGCCGCTGACCGGAGCTGGATCAGGCACCGGTGGAGCGGACTGCTCTGGCTCCGGAGTGGAGCCGCTGACCGGAGCTGGACTGGACCCCGGTGGAGCAGATTGCTCTGGCTCTGGAGTGGAGCAGCTGACCGGAGCTGAACTGGGCACCGGTGGAACGGATTGCTCTGGCTCCGGAGTGAAGCAGTTAACCGGAGCTGAACTGGGCACCGGTGGAGCGGACTGCTCTGGCTCCGGAGTAAAGCAGCTGACCGGTGCCGAACCA